CACAATTGGTGGCTGACTAAATACTTTTTTGCCCCACTGTATATCTCCACTCTGGGCCACACAGGACTTTTAGTGGAGGAACTGACCTGGTGCCTGGAGGGTCTGGACAGGAGGAAAAGGCTTAGATTAAACATGGAGTGGCTGTAGAGTCACAAGCCAACTGCTTTCAGAGACAGTTTATCCCCGACTCTCAATGGAGTTGTGCTCCTTAAGATAGAGCTGGCTCACAATCTTGGGATTCTCCTGGACTCACAGCTTCTGGATGAACAGCAGCTGGAGGCTGTGGCCAAGAGAACCTTTATACAATGTCATTTGTACATCAATTGTAGCCATTTCTGTAATTGGAAGCTCTTGGTCATTCATGCCCTTATAACCTCGCAACTGAACTACTGCAATTTGCTCTACATGGGGCTGCCTCTGAAGACCTTAAGGTGGTTCAACATGTGATGCCCTGAGGGTTATGGCAATATGTAAGTTCACACACTACTACTGAAGGACCTGCTTTGGATGCAGTCAAATTCTAGGTGCTGATGGTCACTTTTTAAAGCCATACATGGTCTAGGGCCTGGATATCTCCAAGATTGCCTTCTCAAGGGTAGTCAAATGTGTCTACCCAGTAAGATCTAGTAGGGGGGTCTTGCTGAAGGTCCCAAATCTGAAGGAATGCCATCTACAAGGACTCCATGCTGGAATCTTCTCAGTGATGGCCCTCTACCTCAGGAACAGTCTACCCCACTGCCCCTCAATATTTGGACTATCCTTTCCCTATTATACTTTTTGTAAACATGTGGTATGCTTGAAGATCTTGCTGTCTGAAGGGTGTCACATCAAGGCCTTCTTATTATGTTGGGTTATTTTATGTTTATAATCTGTAAGTCACCCAGAGTCTTCAAAAATGGAGCAGTATATAAAGGCAAAGTAATCAATCAAATAAACAAACATGGTTTTAGTATTTCTACAAAGCTATAAAGTATAAATGATCTTTATAAATATATGCAGTTATGTAATTTTAGAGTGTATATATGTAGACACTATGTTTTATTTTTTATCATCATCATCATTATTGTCATCATTTATCTTGGGGCAAAAGCATATTGTTGCTATTTCACATTTTTCCTACTTGTTTCTATATTGCAAACCTCTTCCTCTACAGTTCTCAAATCCAGACATTCTTCCAAATTTCAGAGCAGATTCTGAAATTGAGTGGGCAGATAGGCTAGAGATGAAAGCAAGAACTACTAGTGCAATACTCTCAGATTAGAGACAGCCACAGATTCTATAAAATCCAGGGTTTGACAATATTAAAACTGTGGCTTTACTTATAATTTCTGGTTTCTCATTACTTCTCATTACTTCCATTAGATCAGCATATAAACTAAAGGATGATATTAACATATGAATTATATAATTTAATTTTTTAACTGCTGCTTTTATCATATGCCTATAAAAATAAATCTTGCATTATCTAGCAACTTATATATGTAAAATTTCAAAATACAACAAAATAATATGCAGTCACTTTTGCAATTAAACATGGACTAAGTTTTTTGTTAATTTTCAAGCTAAACTAGTTCTAGGACATTAGTATTTTAAAGTTAGGTGGGAATTTATTCTTAGACACCTGATGGCATTAGCTCTTTTGGAGAAAAAGAAGAAACTGAAATAGTAAGCCATGTTTTACCTTTTGCAGCTCTTAGCAAGAGCTCCAGAAAGAGTTTAATAATGCATTTATTTGTGAAATTTATGCCATTCCTATTGTTCAAGAGCTCAAAGTAGCATGCATAGTTCTCTCTCTTCTCCACAACAATAATCCTCTGAAGTAGGTTGGGAAAGTGACTGTCCTGCTGAACTTCTGTGGCTAAGAGTAGATTAGAACCTGGGTATTCCAGTGCTAGTACAACACCTTAACTACTACATCACACAAAAAATGTATAACAGTGATGCAACCTATTTCCCATTTTGTATACAGGATAACTATTACAGATTTCTTTTTCTATCTGCTGCAAATGAACTTGTCACAGAATCTGCAGCATTTTTCTTCTAAAAACAATGAGGATCAAAGCTAAAATTTTATACCGTTAAATATAATTTTGCTTTTATGCAGTTGGTAATGGAATTTACTATAATTAGATCTTATATATGTATATGTGTATGTATATGTCTGTGTGTGCGTGTGTGTGTGTATGTATGTATAAAAAATTCCCCTCTCACCCCCATGGGTGATGTGTGTCTTCCTCAATCTCGGGTCCTCTACCAGAGTTTGAGGGTTCTGTGCAGTATCTTAGCTGTTCCTAGCACTGCACTCTTCTGGACAGA